TTATATGTAATAGATATCGAATTATTTATATAAGTGTTATTAATATTTGTCCTAATAATTTGCTCGAAAATGTGTATTAATATTTACAAAGGTCTTCTAGTTACTAATATTTTGAATACATTAACTGTCAATTACTCTACCTAACCTAATACTTAATTTACGGGGTGTTACAATGTTATAGTTCATAAATACTACCTTTGATCAATTTTATCATTATTGCACTATAAAGAACGACCTATAAAAGGGACATTCTTGTCACTATAAGGATTTGTGTAACACTTTATAAATACATCGATCAAATAAAAATGATTCTTTAAATGTATATGTGTAGTGACACGTTGTGCTGTGTGCTTATACGTCAAAAAAATAAAAAAATGTTAAAAATCCTATATGTATGGCAAACTACTTCGGTACTGTTGCATTATTTACATGCAAACAAGGTAAAACTGACTAATGCATCTATCATTTCATAGATTGACAAATTTTAAAATGCTTTAATATACAAAATGGTGGTAGAAAAAGGACAGGCAATATCAAATCGATATTTACTTTCTCGTTCACTTAGTGCATGAATAATAAAAGTATATTACCCATGCACAAAATAAATGGAACAAAAAATGAAAAAAACAAACATACAAAATTAATGTCACATCAGGCGTACAAAAAACCTGACAAACCCCAAAAGCGAGGACAAATGAAAACGAAAAAAAAAAACAAAAAACCAAACGGTTAAAAAATTTCATACAAACTTGGTGTTCATGCACAAATCGTCTTCACTTTCCGTGGATCAATAAAAATATTTGTAGTCTCAAGTGAAACAGCCTACATGCGGATACTATGCAGTGATAATGGACCAAATTGTGCACGGTTAAGATACCGCAGAGTTGTTAAGTGGCCACTTAGTGACCGATTAACTACTCTGAGTACGTAAAGTCTAAAGATATCTGATTTCGCTTACCTCTGTGAGTTCTATCGTCTCTCCTGTGGTTTCATCTACCACGTCGCCGTAACACACGCCCGCGATAGAGCACTTGTTGAAGGTCATTATGTTCTGTGTCAACGTGCCTGTCTTGTCGGAAAATATGTACTGGATTTGACCTGCAATTGTTATTTAATATACACAAAACTAAATCTGATCACCTATTAGTTAATACTAGTTGTTGCTTGCGACTACGTCCACGTGATATTAAAGAAATAATACAAAATAGCATGTTATTCACAGACAAATTACCTTTCTAATCCAAAAGTATATATAAATATAGTAATAAAAATATAGTAAATAAAAATCCAAAAGTACAAATCTTTCATCTTTATAACATTTGTAATTCATATTTAAAATTCAGCTTATTTTTATTTTCAATAATAATAATTTAGAGACATTTACCTAACTCTTCATTAAGTGTAGTTGTTCTCGCTTTAGCGGCTGTCCCAGTCTTTTCGTAATACATTTTCTCATCCCAATTTATAAGAAAACTCTGTGCGAATCTTATGACCTGTAAAACAAATTAATCCTTCAAGATAACTGGTGTACAATTTTATAATCTGCAAATAGCTTCGTTATAAAATCAATAATAGAGACTACACGATTGAGCGGTAAAAGGTCGAACAGTGAGTTATTTCATAACACCATTTATAAACGTTGTGACAGGCGAAGTCAATTACATTTACTTGCAAACATATCTCTATCACGATATGACATGATTTTTTTATTACTGCAAATCACTGAAACTTTGGAAGCATTTATTTGTAATAGATTTTACAAAATATTTGTAACCTAGTGGAGATATAATATAAATTCGTCATTATTTAACATGCAGAATGCCTATAACCTTAAAACTTCATAGAAATAGTAATGGTTTTAGATTACCAGCTTGTTTAAATTGTGATAGCTAGTCTTTGTAACGCGGTAATGTAAATTAAACTACAAATCTTATTTGTAATTCTTGTAAAATGTTATTATTTGGGCAATAAATATCACTAGCTTCCATCTGCGTGAAAGTAAAAAAAACAAAACCAAACTTTTATAAACCCTTAAATGAATGTTTTTTTTAAATACCCTAAATTAAAACTGGTAGTAAATTGAACAAAGATGAAGGGAAAAATATTTTTTTTTTTTAAAATAGCCTATTGAGTGTGGAAAAGAAGACTGACTGAAGACATTAAGGTTAAATTAAGAAAGAAAAAGTCCGAGCGGATACTGACCTCGACCGAGACGTATAGTGAGATGGGCACGACGGTGTTCATGACGATGGCGTAGGAGAAGAAGACGAGGAAGGCGATGACGACGGCGCCCGAGGCGGGCTCGGCGGGCACCAGCGTGTCCCACGGCAGGTACAGCTGGAAGTGCCGCCCCACCAGCCACTCCCACACGCCGCACGCCACCGTGCAGAACACGCACATCGACAGCAAGAAGAACACTATCTGTTGACAACACCTTTACGTCTATTCTCATTGTCAACATTTACACATACACAAACACTGAGATATGCTTAGACCTTAGACATATAAATATATAGAGAAGGCATATTTAACACTTCACTTAAAAAAAACATAATCATCACTAACACTATATATTAATAGATCCTTAAAACCACATATCAATATCATTAACTGTATTTTATTTAATTACCAATATGAGTAGTGAAAAATATTTAAATACTAGCTTTTGCCCGCGACCCCTATGAAATACAAAAAATAAAGTGAGTAACCTATGTGTTCTTCCAGACTATACCAAATTTCATCGAAATCCGTTCAGCCGTTTTGGCTACAAACTCTAACAAACATCCATCCATGCATCTAAACTATCACATTTATATACTATTATACTATGATTTGTACTTTTTTGTAACTTTGTTAAGTCTATTTTAAAGTAAAAGATTATTATTTTGTAAATTGTTTAATTACATGCCAATACAACACATGAGGTGGCACTAAACTTGACAACTAACATACCTTTTAGAGAAAGTGCCGGGGAAATAATTTTGTTTACTACATATGTCTATTCCTATTCTATGTTATTTAAATGTAAAATAACTTAACGCATTAAAGTGTCTCGCGGGACTTTCGGTAAGTAATAATATGAAAAACAAACCAGCTGTAGATAACGGCCGGGCGAGCCCTCGCTGCGTTGCCGCATCACAGGACGCAAATTAAATTAGGCCTCCGCAAACTTGATCTGGATAGCGCTTGTTTTATTTTTTCATGCAAGCGGTAAAACTTGTTTATCATTTTTCAAATCTATTGCTATCACATTCATTCTCTGAATGAAAAATAAAGATAATGTTCTTGTATGTGTTGTCTATGTAAGTATTTTCACTTACTTTGTCTAAGCGAAGCCTCTCCCGGCCCTTACCTTCCGCTGGTTTGTTTTTAATTTTATTATTTATGGAAGTTCCCGTTAGTCATTTTAGTACGTTTTTTTTTTACAATGTGACATGTATCAAGAGTGTTAAGTGACACTTACCCCTATAATAAGAAAATTAAGTAGCCTGTCGATACTGGTGCGTTTAAACTTGGTCTTGCCGGAGTTCTGCATGAGCTTGGTGTCCTTGCCTGCGAACACGACGACGCCGTAGCACCACGTAGTGTTGCGGAGTACACACCCACGTAGGAGGATCTTATCGTTGTCCAACGAGAAGTGTTGGTCACGCCAGCTTAGAGTACCTGGCACATGAAAATTGACTCTCATGGTACAGTTTATTGACTAAAATCATCGTTAAATAGAATTGTTGTGTGGTTAATAGTTGAACCCCGTTTAACACAGATTTTAATCCCTTTACCTTACTACTCTAATCCTATAAAGAAAATACGAGTAGGGAAAGTAGATATGATGGTGGAGGAGACGCATCGATAGGAGAAATATTCTCTTTATGTGCGTCTCTTCCTCCGTCAATTGCAAATGTCTATGGGCAGCGGTAGCTTTGATTTTTAAGCAAATACAGGTAACCGCTCGCTCGTTATCCACCTTATATTATAGTATAAAAAAAGAATATTAAGTTGTCAGGATTGAACATTGATAAATCAAAGTAGCTAAGCGACGAGTGGAACAGGAACTAGTGACAAGACAATCTTAGCACCAATCAATAACAATGTGATCGCTCAATGTTACGACACAAGACAGCGCGATTGTTCAATCAGAACATATCAGTTTCGAACTTAGAAGGATAATATTCCATTGCTGTAATAATTGTGAAAACTGCTAAATCAAGAATATTTTCAAAATAATTCGAAGAAAAGTGTAGACAGGAAATCGATTCTAAATCACAAACACATCCGTAGTAAATTTATTTTGATTTTCACTTCGAAGTGAAGTCTGCAACACAAGCGTACCGAGCGTTGATTTGATTTGAAAACGATTTCCTTCCTATCACGTGTTCTGTAATGTTTTTATTACTTCATGTTATATTTATATCCATTGATTGTCTTCACTTGACCTATCACTGTAGATTTATTTTCAAAATTCTATCGATCACACATTTAGTACCTTCACTTGCATAGTTTTACGATGACGATCTCATTACACTTAGCGACTTCCTTAATAACCATTTAATAACTCTGAATTATACAGAGTCGTTTAAAAGCGGATGCTCTTCTAAACTTAAATCCACAAATTCACACACAAGTGTTGTGCTCTGAGTCACGTAAAATTACGCAAACCTTACTCATTTAAGAACTATAAAAAGCATACCTTCAAACTTATTAAGTAGATTGTTAGGCGTTTCGCACACTATCTCGCCGTCAAACGCACCCAGCTGTCCGTCATCCTGACCCATCGCTGCCGTCTCCAAAAGGCACTGGCGACACTTTAAATTCGTCTCCCTGTACAACGAACATATAATTTAATATATCGAAGACGTAAACAATTCGTGAAGTGCACTTACTAAAAAACTAGCCATATTTACTATTGCCTATAGTACCTAAATAGAATAAAATAGCTGTCTTGCGTTTAGCAAGACGTTTTGATTGTACATGTGCGTGTGGCTTACATGATCCTATATGTATACATTACTTAACCATAAAGCACAGCATAAAAATGATAGATGTACTTTTAATGACTTGTGAATAGATGACGTTTCCATTTCGAATACGAAGTATTACTGATTTGTTATATTTGGATAATAAAAAGTGTAGGCGGTTATCCGAAATTTAGATTTTTTCCAATTGGTGAAAACACGAAATATCTTTTAAATTGTAAACAATTAAATATTCTATGAAGCGTTACGATGCAATACGATTTAATTCTTGTCTTAGCTTTTAACTATCTGTTTATGTAACTTTTGTGCAAAAGAATAAATAAATAAATTTACGATAACAAGTCAAATTGTGAACTATTTACCCTAGGCAAATTACAATTAAAGAATTCACAATCTGTCGGTACCATACAAAATGAGCAGTGAAAACTTATAAGCTCATGATAATGCGAAAGTGTTCTTACCCATCAAGCTCCGCAGTCTCTATGTAACAGAGGCCGTTGGGCTCAGAACTGCTGAGCAGCAGAATGTCCGCTGCGACGAACTGGTCGTTCTCCAGCCGTATGACGTCACCCACTTGAACAGACGCCCACTTCTCCTCCACCAGCTTGCCATTGCGCAGCGTCTTCGCTCTACGGTGGTTCACTTGAGAGTCGTTTTGATGACGTTGCTGTAAACACGAAAACAATTCAATAAGAGTTACAAGGACTTTTAAGTATTTGTTAGAATTATCTCTTGATAAATTATGATATTTAGCACTGTGTTACAGCACACTACGTTCACGTTAACTGGAATTACAGAACAAATCATACATATTTACACTTTTCATAATGATGAAATGAGTATAACACGAGCTGAGATGGCGTAGTTCATTTGCAATGTCCGTGAAGGTCAGATGTACTATCAACAATCACCCACATACCCGTTAGAAGCCTTTTGTTGATAGATAAAGATAATAGCTTACTAGTTAAGACAATTCTTGCTTTAAGTAATGGAGTTTAAACACATCATATGAACTATCTCCATGGATATTTAATGGTGAAACAATTGTCTTCTGATTGATAACGGTATTTGGCCAAGTGGAAGAGATGCAATAGAAACCCACTGTTATAATACAGGTCTGTGTGGCATTATGTAGTTATGAGATTACAGACATTATCCGCGATAACCATGGCTTTACGATGCTAAATAAACAACGTTTATGTACTAAAGATTATATTTCACTTTTATCAAAGATGTTGGTATAAAATGCGGATTTAAAGGCATTGTGTTAACAACTACGGTGATACGATGACATCAATATCTTTATCATTAGTTTACGTCTTGGCACAGATTACATGTGATATGATTAAATGTTGAACATTACAGTACGTTTCCACTGGCATAACACCTGTCGATCCACAGCTATCTCAATATTTCCAGAGATAATGAAAGGGACGGCAATATTCTTTTGTAGAGTCTAGACGTGAAAATCCATCGTTAGACGACTTAACACTAAACAATTCAATTCACGGGGAGAAATTGATGGATTAACTACGAGTTGCAACATCAACTCGTCTAATTAGGCATGTAATGATTTTTTCAAAGAAACAATTACCGTTTACGAGTAGGTGTCACTGAATCCACATGAGGTCATTCGCTAAAAACTCCATTAAAACACATGGTCGCTGACCGCGGTTGTATACGGCACGTAGCAAATTGCGTCATGAGGGCAGGTCAATTCGTTGTACGTGATCCGTTCATTGAGTATCAAGATGATTTAAACCGCGAAAAAGTCTAGAAATATCACGGAGGGTTTTTGTTTTAGATTTTTTCCTTGTATAAGTAAAAATTGTATCCAGTTTAGAGTTCTCTCTTTACGTAATACGTATTCGCAAGTTGTTAGTTTCCTGGCTCCGCACAATAGTGTATGTAACCGAGGAAAAAAGGCAAACAGTAACAATAGGTATAAACACGCGGTCTAGAATTTTCTAGGTTTTTTAGCCGATGTTGCTGTTGTTATCGGTTGTATGACCAAAGCATTTCGAAACCTCATTCACACGAGTAATTTAAAAAATATACATTCCTAGTTAATCAAGAAGAAAGTAAATAAAAACTACAACGTTTCACTACATTTAAATGTACCACTTAAGTGGGTGAGCATTTTAAGAATTTTAAAATGAAAACTATCACTGAGTAATGAATAAAAACGATATAATGAAATATCACTGCATTGCACTGAAATAAACGAGTCATGAAATGACGTGCACCCTGGCATCCACCGCTTGCACTATAACAAGCACCTAGTACATTTCCATTCTAGTACGGCATCAGTCACGGAATAATTAGCGTACAATGGGCGTCAAAGAGCTGCCACGGCTGAGTGGGTCGGCTAAAATGTGCCACTTGATTCCAACATATGTACATAAACTATCGGAAAATTATGCAATACATTCAATAATCATTCAAAGTTACATTATATAGTGATCGCTTTGGAATAAACCCAAAGATAATAAGATACAAGTACAAATCAAACAAGAAAGTACATAATAAACACTTCATTATTGGTTCTGCGATTAACACCAAATTTCTAAGTTAAATTGTAATTGTTTCGTCCACAAGAACCGAACAATAAGGATATGGGTTTATATATTGTTTATAATTTGTAAATATAGAAAAGATATAAAACAGATGGAAACAACAGCATCCGACACATGTATCGGATCTTGCAGTTTGCTGCACATTGTACGTACGAAAACAAACACAATGCTAATATCCTAAACGTGATTTTCCACACCCGAAATACATAGAATAAAACGATTGTTGTCTGCTTTTTTTAAGATAATGATAAAAACGATAATCGTCAGTTGAAACCTACGGTAAAGTAAACTTTATTATCTAAATTGTTGTAAATGTTTTGGAAATCCCGGCATTCTAGATAAAAAATTGTTTTAAAAAGAATTATATCGCAATCCGCAGATATTTAAAAGAATGTGAATATCTAGCTAACTCATCTTCATATCCTTACGAAATACAACATCTCTGATTTGTCTCTTTTTAATACTTTAATGATTGTCTGTAAAAGAAACCTGATAACGTTTATTTATACCCTGACATATCTGGCTCAGAACTGTTACAATTTATCGAAAATCTGGTACAATCTTGATGTAAATTCAGTACACATTAAAACTACACCAATGAAATGTCAAGCGAGACGTTTGCAACTAAATACTTCCTACTTACGAAGTCGTCGTAGGCGTCCTTGACTGCTGTGAGGGCAAGTACGCCGATCAGCGGGATGGCGGTTGTGATGGGTGTCAGTGAGGAGATAGCGGGAATCAGCTGCAGCACCAGCAGGCACAGAAAGTAGAAGTTCGCCAACCGCTGGAACTGCTCCAGCAAGTTCAACGGCAGGAACGTTATTATCGAGTACTTCGACGTCTTAATGTAGTTGTTCTGTTAAAAAAAAACAAATTATGATAGACTTGCTTTCACCCGCGACTCTGTCTGAGCGGAATTATTAAAAGTTATTCTATGTGTTCTTCCAGACTACCCTCTACATTTGTACCAAATTTCACCGAAATCCTTTCAGCCGTTAAGGCAGTACAAACTCTAACAAACATCCATCCATCTAAACTTTCGCATTTATAATATTAGTATGATAAATTGAATCATTGAAGATTAAGAAAGAAAGCAGTATAAACTACTAGGATACCAGATAGCCAGTGAGAGACACCAGACATAGTATAGATAGCTTTTTATAGAAATATAGAACACACGAATATATTAGATAAGAAAATATAATTCGCCTGTATCGATTGTCGACGACGTAATTTTTACGATTATGCGACTGTCTGGCTAACGCAAGGAGCGTACATTTTTTTAACCTAGACATTGTGTGTTGATCCAATTCGTCTAAAAGTAATCAATGTTCAACTTACAGCATAGCGAAACTGCGCATTGTATTCTCTGTTGTTGGCTTTGATTCTTCGTTCATTGTCTGTAACAAACAAACATTTAAACATTAAAAAAAAGAGCAACGATTAACTGCGGTAGAGTCCTATAGGGGCCTTGCACTATTGGGCGTTACTTAAGTTTAAATTTCCTATCCTACAGGCTTCGAAATAATCAATTTGTTCTTAATATGTACTGAACCTAAATTAATTGAGTAAAATCTTTTCGCATATGTTATATCCGCTTCGGATGTTCTAACAGATAAAGTAATCGATAAAATCAATATTAAAAGGTCGTGAGAAGACCATAGTATAATACATAACTAGTGATTAGTGTGAAGGACATAATGTATGGGATAAGAGATAATACCGCCTTCGTTGTGGGGCTTCTACTATAGCTTAATACTCTATCTCGATCACTGACCAGGCATTATGCGTGACCTATTATTATTGCTTATATGGCTCATCAGATATAGAGTGATCGACGATCGAGAACATTTACTTAGATGTAAGCATCTAAGTAAATGTTATTGATAGGGTTTGTAAGTTAGAAGACGCTAAGAAGTTCAAGAAACCCATGACCTAGTGACCTAAAATACTTGCATAACCGAAAATATATGTGAATCTTGGCTTTCCATTCAATCATAAATTTGCATTAATTTTTTTATATCCGTTCTTTAGTAAGCCTAGTAATCTATTAACCAAAATTTTATACGGGGAATTAGTTCAGAATGCTGGCAACAGCTGGTTCCATACCAAAACGATATTTTTTTCGCATGAAAGTCAACTCGCCAGACGAGTCGGTGGCACTGAACGAATTAAACAGCGGATGTTGACGTTATGACACAAATTTCCCCGTGACTCATTCTGCCCGCAATTAGTTTATCTGTTAACTCTGTTTACGAAGTGACGTCCTTATTTCACACATTACGTTTTTACAAATTAATTTAGATTTTATAATGTTGTATCATTTATCATAGAACCGATCAAGAAGCAACGCCAGACTGTTTCAATATTTATTTTTGATAATCTCGATCGAAATAACACCTCGACTAGTCTACGCTTTTCCGTCTATTTACGTAACAATACAATGATTTCTTTAGTAATAAGCTACCTTAACCAACACGTACACATAACAAAGGTAATGGAGTAAAAAGAATAAACAATTGAGTGTGAATGGAACCTTAGTCAGCGCTGAACAAACACGGTTGAGCGCAATCATATCGAAGCGGCATGAACAGAGAATGATTGATTGAGCCACGCTATTTATACACGTAGGTGGAATGCTGCTCAACTGTTCAGTAATCAACTCGACTGGAAAATGTATTTTCACAGTTAACGAGCATTTAGAACTAAGTTTACAAATTTTATACACATCTTTTTGTATACGATGATTCATCAATTTATGAACTAGCAGACGCTTGCAATCTTAATTCACTTCAAGTTCAAAAACCTTTCTTAATCAAATTGTTTTGGTAAAGCAACTTACAACTAAACGCATTTAACATTTGGAGCATTATTACAACCGTAATGACAGAAACTTATGATATTTTTATGGTATTTTTTTTAATAGCGATTGCAGTGTGTATAGGACTTAATCCGTCGACTAGAATGCGGCATGGCTCGCGGTCAAGCATCAATACACACGGATAAATAAAACAGTACACACAATAACACTTATATGGCTTCTTGGCTTTACTAGTACGCATAATGCAAATACGTTACGATAATACAAAGACAAGCGTATAATAAAGGCGGGAAAAGCCAAAAAACGAAGTGTTGGCAATTAACTTTAATGCGAAAGCAAATAGTCTACACTTTAAGAGCTGTGATTACGTGAGGAAATCGTGTGTATTCTTGTACACCTGTACTTTAAAATATTGACATATCTCTCATTTCCTTTGAACAAATGGAGTTAGAGTTAGTGGAAACTTACAGAAATAATTAAAATGATGGCATTATCTGCGATGGTGTCGATTTTAAAAGAAACATTTTATGATTTCACAAAGATAATCGGCTACAATGTGACTAATAAGTGTTACAGATCCAATTTAAAATGACACAAACTGTGTGATCTTGTTATGACCGTCTAAGTCTCTAGGTCGGCAAAGGTAACGACAGATTAATCGCCTTAACACACTTTTAGACAGCACCTGTATTTTATCAAGTATTTTGACGCTCATTGGACTATACTTTACATTGTTATATATTCTAGTTTATGACACTATTAAATACTTTATGTCTTTATTTTTAGGGAGATTCTCAAGTATTAGGATATCAAAAACCGTAGTTACAGAAATCCCTATTCTTCAAAGGGATCTCAACTAAGATGTTTCATCATTTCAGTTGTACATTGTACAGGTTATTGATTATTAATGATATTTTTATCTCATATCGTGTTACAGAAAGAATACAAAATTAGATTCAAGTGAGAGCTTAACTCACGTGAGAATCCAAACTACTTTACCGTAACATGTAAAATTTTCTACTCCAATTCAATAATATTTTTAAAGACGAAATAAATAAACTTTGATAATATTCAAACCAGATGGCAAATTCAGGATGGGCAGTTATTTATTAAAATTTTAATTGAATTTGAAAATTCATATGAATGTGAAAATTTCATGTATAAAATATTTCTGTTTTAAATTAATAATAAACAACTTAAAGTAACAATTAATGTCTGTATATGAAGTACTGAGAACTATATCGTAATATTCGTTTCGTTATCAGTGGACATGAACAACAAATACAAGGAATACCTTGTAACACGATACACAGCACTGATTCATACTCCAATGATACATGATAACGATTACTCATATTCGAAAATATGTTTATGTAAAATTAATGAAATCCAAAGCACATAAATGCCGTTATTAACATACAATGACAAAATTAATGAAATGAAAACGTACTAAATCAAGATATTAACATCTTCGCATGAACGGATGAAATACCACGACCACACAGGAGACAACCGTGAAGTGGGGGAAACTCCGCGTTTCGTCTGATGAGTGTGGTGTCGGTGGCCCAAATTTGGTCCCTTTTCCTTCCCACCCTTTTTCTTATGAGAAAGGATAGTGGATTTGACGGCGGAGGAGATGCATAGGCCAGGGAAATATCCTCTTTATCTGCCGCCCACAGATATCCGATGTCTATGGGCAGCGGCCGCTTGCTCGTTTGCCACCTTATATTATAAAAAAGTAGTGATATAAACTATTTTATTTTTTTCTTTTATTTGAATACTGAAAGGTACAACTTGTATAGGATGGCCCTGTGCCCAAGTATATCTAGTTTTCTACGGCGTGAATCATAGTTACCTAAAGGAACACAATGCCAATTCAACTCCACTCTTGTTGACCGCTATCTATTTTGCTGCAAGACATATCTGACAGATCACTCATTATTTAAAATAAATCATAAACTAGTAAATCAACAACAACACTTAGTTGCGTTGCCTCTATATTCCACAACTCTACTACAAGCGCGTTCTTTTGTCTAAATGTTGCGTATATATTCATACTAGCTTTCGCCCGCTACTCCATTCGCGTGAAATTAAAAAATAAATAAAGCGAGTAGCCTATGTGTTCTTCAAGACTATCCTTTACATCTATATCAAATTTTAACGAAATCCGTTCAGAACTTTAGGTTACAAACTCTAACAAACATCCATCCATCTAAACATTCGCATTTATAATATTAGTAAGAAGTAAAATTATAAAGTTTACTGTAATTCAAACTTAAAGCAGCGTGGTAAACTCAATGACGTCACGTTAAAATACAGTTTCCGAATAACGTAGTGACGTAAAAGGGTTATGGCATTTGTAACTGGAAACGTGAAATAATGAAATGAAATCCCATAACCGTCGTTTTAATTACTTTCATGTAATGCTTAGTATTCGCGTTAACGTAATAAATAATCGCCGTAACTAGTTTTTATTTAAACTACTATTTCTAAGTTTATATTTAAACAGATTTTTAAATTAATTTTTGATAGTAACATGTGGGTCTAGATAAATAAAAAAAAATCGTCTAATACCGTATCTTTTATTCAATGTAAGATTACTTACAATTTCGTTAGTAGAATTATTCTGTGTACATTTAATTAATTATGCCGTTAAATACAATACAGTTTAGCAACTCTTGTTTTTGGGTAATATAAACAAAACAAAGTAAATCGAACTTTCCAAATGTTTAGATTAGTTAGAGTTTAGAGCTAAAGGAAGTTATAAAATGTTCATAATATTTTAATTTGTATTACAAACGGATCAAACAGACGTCTTGCTTGAAGGCCCGCCTATAAACGTGCATGCTTAAAAAAAACGCAAAAAGCTTATATAATCCGGTAGAAGCTATACTGTGCTTTTATCATTTTAAATGTATTTTGCATTACACTAAGGAAGCAAATATTTGAAGGTTTGTTTACTTAAAACCGTATATTAGAACGACTGAAGGATAATTATAGTACAAAGTAACCATTGAGACGCTGAAATAGCTAAGACGTTCTCATTAACACTAAGTACACACTATTGTGCATGCACGTGTCATTAGTCGTATGACGTTGGCATAGTTTACACAGAGAATTAAACATATTAAAGGTTGGGGAAAAAGAAATCATTACAGTTAGGCCTGCAGTGATAGATATCTCGATAAGTATCCGTCTTACAATATTAAATTTATGTTCGTTATAAAGGTGACAATAAGTGGATTACATGAGAATTATATTTTGAGGATACACTTTGGTTTGCAATGTCCCGTCTATTGATGTATGTTAAATGTATGATTTTATACAAGAGATACTTATATTTTCTATTATAATGGGTGTGGGTTTATAGGTCGTCGAAGACGTCAAGACGTTGATCGATCTTCTCTGGCTTGTTTTCATAGATGCTTTAATATACAAGTTAACTCCATTACCACTCAATATAATAGACAACCCACTGATATGTAAATGAATTATAATGAATTATAAAACTGTTCCCGTGCTGTTTCCTCCGCATAAAATTATAAAAACCGTATTTTATTGTTCACATTTGTGAAATTTTCAATTGTAAATGTCAAACGTCATTAACATCTTACGCCTCGAAGTAGTGTGTGTTCAGCCTTTATTATATTAGTATAGATAAACCTAGAAGAATGCAGTTATTTTTACACAATACAGCGTGATTTATCAAAAATCGAAAACAATAATGTACGATACGTATGTCATTTAAATTATTAGTAACTAGCCTTCATTTAGTCCACGTGGAATTAAAAAAAATAAATTAGCCTATGTTCTTTCAGACTATCCTCTACTTCTATACCTAATTTCATCGTAATCCGTTCAGCATCTTAAGCTACAAACTCTAATATCTAACATCCTTACATCTAAACTTTCGCGCTTATAACAATGGGTAAGGCTTCCACTACCAAAAACATGTCATTATTGTGTAGTTTAAACTCACAGCACACAGTCCCAAGCGTTATTAAATGTAGATACAATTCATAATGAAAATAAAACGACCATATGTATTTTGTTTTTCTCATACTCTTTTTTTTTAGTAATACAAAACTACTTTCGCAAAATTCAATACATTCAACGAAACAAGACTAACTGAAATCAAATTTACTACATTGTTCATACGAACGATAAATAACATCAAAGAAAAATGATTAACATAAACATTCACTCGTTACCGTGACTTTTCACACATTGCTGTCCCTCTCTCTATCTTCGAAATAAACAGAGACAGCGATATGTTTTTTACAAATGTTTCTGTCATAGAAACTCAGACGGGATGTTCATTATTAACGATGCACGACTGTAGCAAAATCATATTTCAAAGGGATTTTTATTACTACGTGAAATAGGGTTGCCTAAAATAAATAATAGAAATGAAATTATTTCACTGCCGAACTTGTTAATTGTGAAATAAATATAACAAGTGTCAAATGAGTAATTAGGAGCAAACAGGATTGGATTCTTAATCGATCAGCCCCTTTAGACAAAGTAACATTTGATTATTGCTATCGCTGATCGAAAAGACAAAAATGTATGAAACTGACAATAACATTCGATAAATCACGTGCATGTCACGTATTAATTCCTGTATATTTTGACACATTTTGTTGATTCTACTAACGATATAGCTAATCGATAGTCAATTGTCTAGGGCTATTTATTAATCGAACGATTGGTAACTAAAATAGATAAAAACCGTGGGAAATTAGACTTAAAACACTAAAGCCACAACGCACATTTTATTTTACTTTAAAAAAAACTTTTCCTCATTTAGTTTCGCATTAACTTTCTGAGTAGACCTTTCCTGAGGTACTAAGAAATGCGTGCGCACTAAGGAAACTGCGCACTAACGAGTCATATTTATATTTGCAAAACTCAAACAAAATATAGCTTACATAGATTATGTCTATAGTTTTATACTTTGCATTTTTAATTTCATAACATTTAATGTAGGGTAATAGCAGAACGGATGTTAGAAATCTGACATGGAAAACTACAGCACGAAAACGCAAATATTTGCCAGCCCTAATAGTTACGTGAGTTAGTGAGTCGAGGTATGATAATAATCGCCTGCTAAATTTAGCGACGACGTGTAAAATTATTAGAACAATAATTAAAACGAAAACGTTTGAAATGCGGAAACATTAGCCAAATTCGTTTATCCATCTATTGACATCTATTACCTTTTATCTGAACATGATTATTGAATTGAGTTGTATTCGAGAGTCACCGAGTTTGGTTAGTGACTGTCATTGACCCGTGTAGAATTACAAAACCGCAAAGAAACTATATCATACATAAGATATAGTCACATTGAAGAACCAAGCCTATTGTAAAAAGGGATCTAAATTGTAAGGTTTACTTTATCTCAATTATTGGTGTTATATAAACGACCATAACAAACGTTGTCTAATTAGTAATTTCTGCCATAAATTAACAAAAACAAGGAAAACATTTAGCATCATAGCGTTTGGCTAAACTCACTTTAACATACAGTTACCATTATAACAAAAATGAAAGAAGCAGTAAGATGCGGTTCATATCGATTTCTAATTAACCATAGGCATACAACGCTGTCCTCAATTCTCAACGAGAGCGCCGAATTTTTTTTATAAGAAGCGTCTTTTAATGAGATGGGACTATCTTCAGGCAACGCTAATAAGCTTCTTGTGTTTACAAGTCTACGTGTTACATAAGTTTTAATAACGTGAAGATACACATGCAAACATTACTCTATATTTTTATCAAAGTAGTGACAGGAATTTAGAGTTAGATCACGTCATAGAGACAATACAGTACCAATTATTGAATGACTCATACTTTGTATAGTTTCATGTGAATATTGTACGAATAGTTTCATTCATACCGAGACAATTGAAATCAGAATTTCACGGAGAAATATCAGCGGAATTTATAATCAATATCCACTCAACACGCGCGGCAATACGCGAAGCGCCGCCGCCCCGGCCAATGACCGTGTGTGAGGGAGCGATGCTTACGACCTTGGCTGCCGTGCCAAACGCACCACGATACCTTCTCACCAACCACACCAGCGTACAGTATAATATACAAAATAATTTTAGCGAACACGGTAGAGTAGCAAGTGCCACGAGCAGTGAGGTAATACGGACCGCAGGAGACGAAGGTGCGGAAGCGATGGTTGTGCCGGTTGCGGCGTGGCGCGGGTTGTTCGCGGCGCACCAGCTTGCCGAGCAGGCCGAGCAGCGAGCGACGCAGCGGACGCGGCGGCACGCGCTCGCCGCCCTCCGCGCCGAGCACCTCCAGCTCCACGGCGTCGGAGCGCGCGCACATCCGCGCCGCTACCGCGCCATGCCGCGCCCCGCCCCGCCCGCGACCGCACTCCGCCACCGTGCCGCACGCGCGCTCCGGCCCGCCGCCGGGCCGATACTCCACAGCCACACCACATCCACATACTGAATACCTAGTAGCGCCCCGTGACGGCGCGCGCAATACAGGGTTACCATAACAAGCGTTTTTACCAAATTTTCTTTAAAAAATAAATATATAAATCATACGCTCTCCACTATTAACAAAACAAGAATGTTCAAAATCGTAGAAAATCTATACTGATAAATCTAAACCATTCTCAGTAACTGTATAATTTTCATCACTTTAGTAACTTTTACCTCATTTTTTGGTGTAACTTCAGTGCGATTTCTTATCATTTTAGCGGCTTGTTTACAATTTATCATTGAAATGTATTTCACTTATAACAAAATCAGAAAGAAAAAGGAACTTTAAAATTTTTACTTTACAATCTTTGGGGATTCAAAAATATTAGACGGGCAACCCTAAGCGAAGCGTCAGACCGTATACATGGCTGTGTTTTTAGTTGCAAGCTTCACACGACTTATCCTCCGAGTGAGGACTCTACTAGGTACACACTGTCTTTGTGTAAATAGTCAAACCATACTAGAACAATGGAGATTTCTTGCATACGGGTACCTGTACATGTGCATGTTATTGAAGCAATGAGTTTACACTTGCTCTCTGAAGAGAAAATTCTACATTGTTAATTTAAAAACAGTACTTATTAATATCAATAAAATTGTTTAATGATAAAATTAAACAGAATCTGCATGATACAAATCCTCCAACGCAGGGCATTAGTATTAATTGAAGTTATCCATATTAATTTTAGCAAAAAATATAAAACTTTACGAGTAATTTCAACATAGTTGATACAATTTTCATGAAACTTCGGTCATATTATGCTAAAAAAGATCTTGGTAGTTTAGTGATATGTATGTATGTAAGTATATTTTAACAATATAAGACGTTAAAATAATGTCAATTGAGTTGTCTCAAGAACACGTCGTTCAATAGAATAACAATAAGACGAGTTTTTTTTCTCATTTCGCCATCCGTAACGAAGATAAGAGTATGCTAATTTTATTTCTCAAGACATTTTTGCAGTAAATTAACTTAATTCAGACTTAACAAGAACGCGACTAAATGCACAAGGACATCGTGACACCGCTGCAGTTTTTACAAACTAATGTGAAGCCAAATAACAATGAAAATTGTTATATACCCAATTAGCATTATTATAATTTACTAGCTTTTGCATGCGATTTCGTTCGCGTTTAATTAAGAAAAAACGTAGTACTCTAGGCTGTCATCAACTTCCGTTAAACTCTCTGGAGATAGTAACAAACATTTATCCACCCAAACTTTCCTATTTGTAATTTGATAATCTACACTTATGTAGGAAAGCGTAAACACACACTACTTCGTGGCGTAAGATGTCAGCAATCACAGCATATTATTAAAATAATAAAATGCTTTATTTAACAAAATGTCCTTTACTTACGTCACGCTTTAGGCTACATATTTTCTCACTATTAAACTTAAGGGGTAAATAAATTGGATAAAAACCCTAATGTGGGAGATTGACCATAAGCTACCAACATCAAGGAAGTAAGATTGCAATGGTTTGTCATGTCATTTTGACATTTGCAATTAATAATTTGACAATGTAAACAATAAAAAGTTTTTTTTTTCAATTCCATATGGATGAAGCTGCACGGGAACAGCGGTACACCGGTAGAGGTAGACCTAGAAAGAGATAGATGGATTACGTGAAAGGTGACATGATCAAGAAGGGAGAGATGACGAATGATAGAGTGCTTTGGAGGACGAAAACCCGGTGCGCCGACCCTTTTGGAGAAGGATAAGGCAGGGGAGATGATGATGATGATGATATTCTGTTACGGAAAGGCGGGAATCACTCTTACATTAACCGCTAAACTAATTATAGAAACATTGAATGGTAATAAGGTTGCAGTTTCAAAGCAAAATTTTAAACCCTAGGACAAATTACGCAAACTAAATGCTGATATGGTCTAAATATTGGGCACAGGCATCAAATAGAGACAATCGTACACAATTCGAGCTATAATGTACATTCTTGGAAAATGTTTTTTTTTTGTTCTAGATTCATAAGTTCATTCATGTTTCAATTGAGTAGAAAACGGTTATCTGTTTTCTTCTTAAAACTAAAAGTATTTCTTTTCATTTTTTAGAGATATAGTGTTGCGATCTTAAACATGCAATTAAGTTACAAGAAAAAAAAACATTAACCCATTTAAATAAATAGCTAAGATAAGCAAATTACCATACATTTTAAATGAATGACCCAAATCAAACGAAACGTGACTAGCATGGTTATAGTTCAATAAACTTTAACATAGCTTTAAAACAATTTCAGAAACATTACTACAAATCTGACTTCGAACTTCGAATCGCCATATTCAGGGACGTTTAATTGTCAGTATAGGTTTAGTAATCTTACTAATATCATCAATGCGAAAGTTTATATAGATGGATGTTTGTTACAGTTTTTAGCCTAAACGGCTGAATAGGTCTCGATAAAATATGGCATAAATGATAATGTAGTCTGGAAGGACACATGGGCTATTTACTTTTGTGTTTTTTAATTCCACGCGGACGGAGTCGCGGGCTAAACCTAGTCTATAATATTCGCGATCCCTCAATCGCTTTCACAATTTGCGGATAAATAAATTAGGTTGCGGTTTCGCTTTCACAGCACATTGATGGAACATCATCCGGAAAAACGGATATTTGGCTGTCATGATTTGATGATGAAACAACGTTACAGTGCCTACATCAAATATGATTAGCCCTACAAAACTGATTAGATTCTAGAGCAGTCAGTCATTTTCATTCACAAAGATACTATAATACTGTTCAGTACGCGCTCCGGAAGTAATCGTTGAAACTGTATGTAGCTGTAGCTTTCGCTCGCGCTTCCGTCCGCGTGGAATAAAAAAAAACAAAAGTAAGTAGTGTTCTTTCAGACTATCCTCTACATCTATAATAAATTCCATCGAAATCCATTCAGCCGTATAGGTTACAAATTCTAACAAACAACCATCCATCCATCCATACTTTCGCATTGATTATATTAGTACGAAGTATGATTTAATATGTCTGAAACTACAAAACGTATGTCAGTACCTAAATGTTTTATTAACGCTTTCATTGCCATATTGTCTAGCGAGTTTTCTTTCATACGAAAAAAAAATCATAACACAGTGTAAAAGCTAAGGGAAATTTTAGAAGACGCTACCATTTACTGATATGTGTAAATTCGAAAATAGTTTAGTAATCCTGTCGATATATCTATAGACTAATTCACAAGTTCAGTTCGACATTTTAAAAGTGAACGGACATCGACACTATCTAGTTTTCAGTCCTAGCTCCAAGACAATCGATATCTTTACTTTTCCTAATGTGATCAAAGTAAATTCGTCAACTACTATGTCTTCTTTTATCTTAAATAGAATGTTCAACGTTGATTATTTAGTTCACATCATATTTATAGATTTAAGTGGTCTTACAAGCAACCAAAATATAACGACAAAATTTTACAGTTGTTGATCTTAAAATCCCTGCCTTTGTTTCTTTTACATCTCCACAAGTCTTTTCGGAAAGAGACCATTACTTACTTCGGGAATCAAATTTGACATTTATACATTGAAATGTGCGTAATTATCAATTTGTATTTGTTAGTTAAAACCGAGGTTGGTACATAATTAAAGCATAATAAAGTTCGAACGACCTTGGCATCGCAGATGTTCGACTGGTTTGATATGTTATAGAATCCACTCACCTTGACCATGTGTTCTCGCCGAGGACTTTCCCATGTCGGCCGCACCATCGGCACACTCACACACTCGCGCGCGCTCCAATACTTAATACACTAACACTGTGCGTACTCTATGTTACTACTTAAATTTAATTAGGTCGGTATAAAAGTGGCGTAAAAAAGATTACACTATTCTATCTAAGGGCACTTGCGAGTCGAGATAGGTATCCTACGGAATCGTCGACGGCTTGGCTGTATCGGTAGGGGCGGAGGGCCGCGCGGTGCGATCGGCATCCTGCGGACCCACTCGGCACTCCTTTATCCTGCAACAATACACAACAAAGTTAGCATTGCAATAGACATACACTCTCAAGCCAGTACCAATTTTATCTCGTCAGGCCCAATGTATTAAGTAAATAAAGTATCCGCGAAGAGTGTATCTAGACGTTTTCTTTATAAATCCAGGTAACGGAAATCTAAGTCATCGGGTGTTGCGAATAAATTTATGTGTCCGGTACATATACCATCAGACCACTTTATGCACCATATGTATACGCAATTCTTTTTAATCTTAGGTGGTTAATTTATCTACACCTTGTTTTTTTCACATTTCTTGCAAAGATATTTATTATTTCATAATATTGACAAGTAAGGAAGCGACATTTCGAACACAGTAATCCGCCGTCATAATAACCCAATTGGTTAACTCAACTACATACAAAGAAATCTACACAAGAAATATCGGCGATAATAGCTCAGACTGTTGCGTAAGCAAACTGGATCCAATTACCTATGGCACAATGCACTAAGGCCTTGTTTCCTTACGGGGCAAAGAGGTATTACCACGCAAGCCTTACCATAATCTAAAGAAACCCATTTAGAGTTCAACACTATAAGCGTTTTTTTTTAGTTTTTGTTCGTTTTCACTTATTTTAACGTAATAGGTAACACCATCATACTAATATTATAAATGCGAATGTTTAGATGGATGTATGTTTGTTAAGAGTTTATAAACGGATTTCTACGAAATTTGGTATAGAATAGAGGGTAATCTGGAAAACCACATAAGCTACTCAATTTTGTTTTTTTTTTAATTACACGCAAACGGAGTCGCGGGCGAAAGCTAGTATTTTAATAAAGACCATAGGTTTTAATCTAACATTCGCCTACGGTACGTTAATAAATACTAGAAATTTCTTGGTTCTTTAGGCTCTTGAATTTAATTAACCTAGCTAGATCT